TGACCGAGTCTCTGGTGCCACAGATTTGGTGAAGCCTCATTTTCAATTGCATTAAGGCTGTCTGAGCCAACCTTCACATGGGTCTTGTAAAGCGTGCCACAAATATGTCCTCATACGATAACTATGGCACTTTTCGTGAAATTTCATGTGCCATTTGTTGAAGTGGTTATCGTAGTCCTGTCTGTCAAGGGCTATCCCGGAAAGTAGATTTAGCCGAAGGTTGGGCACGTGTCGGACATCCTTCAATACCAATGTACAGCTAACATTTGTTTTTATTTGAATATCACCAATTCCCACGCTCTTGGAATAACTGGTGTTTCCCATCCTTTCCGTACCAAAGTCTCCGACTTTGTGCGTCGAGAAGAAATCGCTATGAGAAGTGGTGTGGTATGAAGCTGCAGTATCTACCACCCACTTAGCGTCATGGTTGGAAAAATGAAGGCATGTCTCCTCATTGACAGAAAGAATAGCCACGTCCTCTGCGAGAGTGACTAGTGTCTCTCCATCCTATTTCTTCGGTTGATTACTGCCTTGGCCTTGCTCTCGTAGCAACTTGCGGCAGTTTTTCTTCATATGACCTTGCAAGCCACAATGGTAACATTTGTATGTAGGTTTTCCTCCGTCATTTGATCTCCCTGGATCTTGTGACTTTCCTCTACTCTTACTCTTTCCTCTTCCCCTGCCTCTGTTACCTCCTTGTTGTTTGCCTCTGCTCTCAGTTACTAGGGCATTTGACTGATCAATGCCAACATCCTTTCTTCTGGCCTCCTCATTGAACAGGGCATCCTTAACCATTGACATGGTAAGTTTGCCTTCTGGAGGCAAATTGTTGAGAGAGATTACCAGCGTTTCCCAATTGTCTGGTAGAGAACTGAGAAGTAAGAGAACTTGTACTTCATCCCCCAGATGCAACTCTATCGATAATAATTGATTTACCAAACTCTGGAACTCACTAGTGTGCTCGGCAATTGAAGTTCCACTTTTTCACTTCAAATTCACAAATCGCCTCATTAAAAAGACTTTATTACGAGCAGTCTTGGCCTGGTACATATCTTCCAGCTTCTTCCAAATGACATATGCATCAATCTCTTGTGCAACATGGTGGAATACACTGTGGTCAATCCATTGCCTGATTTGACCGATAGTTTTTCTATTCAGTTTCTTTCACTCCGTTTCTTTTGTCGGATCTGGATTTACACCTTCTGCCTCCAAGGGATCGTACAAGTCTTTACAGCTTAGAAGATCTTCCATCCAAGGTCTCTAAAGTGTATAATTAGAGGCAGTGAGTTTGATCATGACTCTCAATGTTGAATCCTCCGTGGACATTTTGAGTTTGGGGCTTTAAATGTCTCAATCAAAAAAAAATTGGAACTGAATTTTGCAAAACGGAGTGCACCGTTGCGTCCAGAATGGTTGAAATTTCTGGAAAAGAGTTATGCTTTACAAAAAACGGAGCTAAAATGAGCTCAGAATTGACTCGAAAAATTTTTGGTAATTTAACGGAATATTCCGTTAAACTTAACGGAATATGTTAACGATGGAATATGCTCTGGGAATATTTTCTGGATGGAATATGCTTTGAGAATATTCTCTGAATGGAATATGCTTTGATGGAGTGGAATATTCCGTCGTCTTCAACCTTGCTCCAATCACCTGGCGAAATTTTTTGGCGAACTTCAGGCAGCAACTTCGGCGATCTCCAGTGAGCTCCGACTACCGGTGAATTTTTCGGCGAGGACAGTGAGAGCGCGTACGATGTCGGATTGATGCAAGGCCAATGGGGTCCGACTCGTTTCGACGAGAGGAATTCAATGGTGTGCTCAGAATTTGATTTTGAGTTCGTTTAGAACTCGTACGAACCAAAAAACAGTGAGTTTGAAAAATTTTCGACGACCCAACCGAAGCTTTAATACCACTTGTTGGTTACCCAGGGCTATAAATATACCATAAACAAGATATAAACAAAAAGATATTTCTATTTCTCTCTGAAAATAAAATACAAGAATTTATACATAAATTCTCACTGAAATCTTTCTCGAATCTCTCTCTTTTTTTCTTCCTCACTAATCTTGCGCGTATTTAGCCGTTACTAAACTTCCTATTTATAGGGAATTTTCTGGCCAAATAAGTCAAGAAAAAGGAAACACCGTCTTCAGCCGTTACTAAACTTCCTATTTAAATGTTTTTGGCAAATTTTGTCAAAATTTCTGCTGTCCACCGTCTTCAGCTATCCACTGTCTATCTGTGAATAAGGTGGCTGTGGGGTGTAGACGAAGCTGGCAGTAGAGTAGGCTACTGGGTAGCTTTTGATGGAGCTGGATTCTTCAGCTCTTGCCTTTTCTTTTATAATATTTACTCTTATAGTCCATCTTTTATTATATTTGATTACTTTTATTATATTTGATTAAATTTATACATAGTTGAATTGTTATTTTTTAAATTTTATTATTGAAAATTAATTAAAGTTAGTTGAAATAGTTAACTAAAATAGATAACGCGATTGAAATAAATTTAAAAAAATGATTAGCTAAAATAGATAATTTAATATTTAGATATATTTTGAATAGCTATTTTAAATAATGTTGTTAAATTTGCTCAAACCAAACTAAATTTGTTGCCAAATAATCCATTATGGCATTATCCATATCCCTACCAAAGATCCCGCCACCATGACCGCCCCCACCCCAAGCTACGACTAAACCACGGGAGTGGTGGTTCTATTCGGGTGGGTGAACCGCAGGGGAGATGGTTCTGTTCGGGTGGTTTTAGGAGCTTATTGGGTTTCATTGGGTGGGTGGTATTTCGGGTTTAAGGCGGACAGTGCAGAGTGGTAATAGTTGGGTTTGCGGTTGGCGAAGCATTGGTGGTGTGGTGTGGTGGCGGTGTCGCTGTGGCTTGGGTATTGCATTTGTGGAGCTTGTATACTGCCTTTTGGGGTGTATATGGTGGTGACAGTGCAAAGATGGCTGGGGTTTATGGTTTTGGGTAGTGGATTGAGCACAATGGTGATAGTGGATTTGGGTGGTTTGGTGGTGTTCTTGATTTTGGTTTGTGGTGTCGGTGGGGACTATGCTGTGTGGGGGTGGTTGAAGGCGGGGGGTTATGATATTTCAAGGTTGGAGTGAATAAAATTTAATTAATTAATTTTAATTCGGAGAATTAATTTAGATTTGTGTTGAGTTTATCTGATTTAATTAACAAAGTTAATCAGATTTGATATGAATTTAAGGACAATATTAATTAGATTTTAGAAATAAATATTATTCAATGAATAATTTGATCGGATTGGCCAAGTTTTGGGACAACATTAACTTCATTAATAAAATAAGGGTGGCACCATTTCCACCTCAATAACTCTATGTTCTTACTCCATTAAATTATAAAACTATTAAGTTCACTCTATTTATATCTACTTCTTCATTAGTAATTAAGTTTACTTTATTCTATACTTATCTCGTTAATGACAAAACTTATTTTAATCTTCACTTGTAGAGTTTTTTTTTTTTTTTTAATATTCATCTCACATAATCTATACACAAAATATATTCAATTGAATTTCACCCTAGGTTTCTTTAATGCAAATTGCTTTAATTTTTGTTGTTCGAACTCTATCTTCTTCGATCTCGTTATTGCAATAGCACTATGATTTCTCTCCGTGCTTCTCTTTCTTATTTTATTGATCGTCGATTGAAGGAATTTATAGAGAAAAAAAATCTACTTCACATGCAATTTTTCATTGTAGATGTGAATCTAAAGTTTCTCAAAAAGGAAAAAAAAAAAGATAATCAAGCCTCTCTCCTCAAATCACACCGTTTATACATAAGAAAATCAAAATAAATTTTATTATTAATGGGGTATGTATAGAATATGGTGGATTTAGTTATTAATGAGAATGAATATAGATATGATGATTTTAGTAGTTTCATGATTTATAATTTAACGAGGTAAAAACGGAAATTTGTGGGGTAAGAATAACCTCACCCATAAAATAAATAAGTTTTCATTTCCATTTGTGAATAATTCCATTAATTAAGTCATTTTTTCCCTTCAGTTTTGATATATTGATATGAAGTGACAATTTGTGATGGCATGTTGTACAATTAACTAAAAGTTAAGGAAGTATGTAATCTTTTTGGGTTGAAGGTTTGTATGGTTATTTTCTTTGTTAGAAAAGTAGAATAGTGGTTAATAATAAGGGTATCTAGTTATTATTTAATCAAACCTTAGCGAAGGTGAATATAATTTATTCTATTATATATATATATATATATATATATATATATATATATATATAAAAATTGCTGTCTAAAGATAATATGTTATACTAAAAAAAATTACAAAAGCTCAAGTCTCGTCAATTTTAAAGGGAGTAATATTATTTGAATCTAAAAATTTGATTAAATTTACTGACATAATAATGTGGCTATATAAGAATCATTAAATTAACACAAAATTTCAAAAATTATAAAGGGAGTAATATTAATGGTATAAAACTATATCACATCACTTAAAATAAAAAAGAATATGCATGATAAAAAAATATAATAAGAAACTTGATAATTATAACATTACTAATTAAAAAAACTTAAATTTTAGACATGAAAACATTGATTCGATGACATGACTAATGATGTGTGCATGCCGCATCATCCGACTTTCCAATAAAAATTTTGTAAAATTTTGACTCTAAATATGAAGATCATTTTGTCCAGAGTTGATAATCGAGTTGAACTTAATTTTTTATATAAGTTTAAAAAATTATTTAAATTTGGCTCGTTAGTTCATTTTGAAAACGAGTCAAGACGGGATTGCACCGAACCGAGTAACTCTACTATTTAACATATAAACGAACCAAATTTTACGAGCACGGAGTAAGCATTTTATGTTCATTTTTTAAACGATTTAAAAAAATTTTTTAAACTCAAATTCGAAATCAATCTCAAAATGAGACCGAGCCCTAGCCCGAGCCCAGCCCAAGCCCGAGTAACTTGAGCCCTTACTTTGCCTTCCTCTTCCCATAAGCCCTAAACCCTAGCCTCAGCTTTTTTGTTTCCTCTTCATCTCCGCCAGACCCAAGCCTTTGAACTCGACGCCGACGTCCACAGCCATTCAAATCGACGCCAGCCCCTTTAACCAACCAGTTGATTTGTAATTCAACCATTTCCTATAATAGAATGGGGTAATTTATGCTTCTCACAGAATTGAAATAAAATTTGAAAGGGTAAACAAGAGCCCTCCAAATCCAAAAGCCCCCCCCTCTTGCTAAAACCCCTCCCATCCTCGTTTCCAACAGAAACCAACCAAACCTTCGGAGTTGTTGTCTTGCTTAGTCCTTCGTTTTTCAACGGTCACTGGACTACCTGTCCCTCACACGCGCGCACACACACACACACGCACAAACATATTTATTTATCTTCGTTTATCAACGGTCACTGGGGTTCATAGCTAAAAGAATAGAAAAGAAGCAAACTTTGAAGAAAATGACAACAAGGGTTGCTATCAGATATATGAGAGAGAGCTTGAATCGCAAGCTAAAATCAAGTGCTGCTATTTTACCGAGACAGTATTGTACTACTGCTTCTGAATCTGCTCCAAAAATTCCCAAACATTCTTCCAAGAAAGTACGTTCTCTCTCTATATATATATGGCGCACCTGTAAATGGCTATCTTTATATAACTGTATATATAACATCTCTCTCTTTTAAATTTGTATTACACGGTGAAAAAACGTATTTTATGATCATAGGGATTGAGATATAGCAAAATACTGAGTCATGACATTGATTAAGGATATTTGATTGAGCCATGTTGAATATGTAATGCCATAGATTCAAACAAGATTTAAGGGCATTAAGATGTATGAAATTGAAGATTAAATTGCATCAATTAAGTGAGAAATCAAGGAATTGATTAATGAAAGGCATTCTGGCATCAAGGATGGGAGGAGATCAAACAATTTATTTAATTGTATTTGTTTTGATAAGGAAGGGTTTAATTTCATTAATTTGAAAAAAAGGATACATAAATCTGGAGGGAACCAAAATGTGGCTGACCTTGTGGGCTATAAAGATTTTGTCCATAGGGGGTAGTGACGGTGGTTTGTAATCTGAATGTGCTAAGGGGGTGGGGGTGGGGGGAGGTATGTACAATGTCCTATTGTGAATCCGATGGGAAGTGGTGAGTCCTCTTCTGGGGTGGGAAATCCGTTTCTTTTTATTGGGGAGGAATTCTAATGTTAGTCAAGTGAACATGGGCTTTTAGGGAAGACTTTTTGAGTCTTTTATGAAGTGTCTGTGTATGGGTATTAGAGAATGTCCTGAGTTGGTCCCAGTAGCTAAATCGAAATTGGTTTCCAGTGATTTACATTTGTGTCTTGATAATGGAATTTATGGAAATTCCGGGGTTAATTTTGCACCAGAAAATTCACAAGATGTGTCCAATGGGGCCATTGTTTGCTATGAGGGTAATGGGATGAGAACAAACTTGGAGATGAGAGGTGAGTGTGTGGGAATCTCTACAGGTAAGGAGAGACGTATATTATTTGATGAGGAGTGGGTTATCCTTAAGAAATTTTAAAGGGAGATGAATTTATCTTTAGTTCCTACGAAAAAGAAGGAGAAGACTAAGAGTGATGGACGCAGTGTGAAAAAGCAAAAAGGGGTTTGTGAGTTAAAGAATTTATATTTTGAGGTTAACTATAAGGGCGGGAGTGCAAGGAAGGTGGAATGGGGAACTTTAATTTGTCATAAAGATTATTAGTTGGAATATAATCGGATTAAGGTCTTTTAGGAAGAGGTGTTCAATAAAAGAGTCCATTGAGGGCGAATTTACAATTTTAAATCGAGTCAAAGATAGGGATGGGAGAGATGGGTTGCTATTGGTGTATATGGACCTAATAGACCTAGGGTGAGGAAGTTGTTGTGACAAGAGTTGACGGGGTTGTTTGCAATCTGTAGCCTTCGTTCGTGTGTTGGTGGGGATTTTAAGTTATTAGATATCCTTTGAAAAAATTAAATGGGGGGAGAGTTATCAAAAGTATAAGGGATTTTGATTTTTTTATTAGGGAAGCTGGAATTAGAGATCCTCTGATATTTTCACTTGGTCAAGTTTTCGAAGTGGTCTAATTTGTAATAGGCTAGATAGGTTTTTATTCTCGGTTGAATAAGAGTTTTTTTTGGGTGTCAGGGAGGAAGCTTTGCCTAGAGTGTGGTGTCAGATCATTGTCTTATTGGTGTTCATAACTGGGTCGTAAGGTCGGGTTCATGTCTTTTTAGGTTCGAGAATGTGGTTAGAACATAATGCCTGTGTGAGGGGGAATGTTAAGGAGTGGTGGGGAGGGTACTTTTAATGGATGGGAGAACAAAAGTTGAAGGTGTGTAATAAAGAAGAGTTTGGTGTCATCAAGGTCTTAAAAAAAGGGATATTAGAGAGGATTGATGAGCTTGATAAAATTGAAGAAAGGGGGGATTAGATGGGAGTTTGAGGGAAGAGAGATGAGACCTTAGAAATAAATTTGAAGAGGTGGTGTTCAGAGAGAAGATTAGTTGGAGACAAAAATCTAGAGTAAAGTGGGTGAAGGAAAGGGATAATAATTCAAAATTTTTTCTAAAATGAAAAATGGGAATATGAAGAAGAAAATCATTGATAAATTGAAACTTAAGGACATGATATTTATTGAGGATGAGGATGCTATTGAGAGTGAGATCATTAGTTTATTTTCTAAGTTCTACTACACGCACGAGCCCCTTAGGCCTAGGTTGGAGGGTCTTGATTGGTTTTCTATTGATGAGAGAAAAGTGTGTTGGATGGATAGACTTTTTGAGGTGGAGGAAGTTAAGGAAATGATGTTTGAATGTAGTAAGGAGAAAGCTCCTAGGTTGGATGGGGTTTACTATGACTTTATATCAAGAATGTTGGGATTTGGTTAAAAATGATTTGATGAAAGTATTTGTGGAATTTTTTGATAAAGGGGTGATTAATGCAATTGCTACGTTCACATGCCGATTCCCAAAAAAGTAAATTCCTTAAGGATAAAGAATTTATGCCAATTAGTTTGATAAGGAGTTTGTATGAAATCATTACGAAAGTGTTGTCATTAAGACTTAGGGTGTGTTTTGGAAAAAGTGATACCTGGATCGTAGATACCCCTAGCGTTTCACAAACCGGGGGTTACACGACCCAAAATGATGTAGGGTCGCGATCCATATTGCTTAAATTCTTAACCACAAATTTTTAACTCAAACTGTAAATCAATTCATGATCTTAGTAATCTCACATTATAATCCCAACCCTAAATCATAACTGTAATTTGTTATTTTTTTATTTTGGTATTCTTTAAACTCATATTTTGACAAGATTTATTAAAAATATAAAATAAATATTTATTAACTACGTGTATACGCATATATTGTTCTATTTAGAAATTGAAAGTTACAAAACAAATCACGACTCAAAATAGTGTACCAACTACTTCTAGTACTGTCCTACGTACCAGGACTCGTACTACGTATCAAAATAATCCACGATCTAGATAACATTGGACAAAACCATCTTAGAGTTTCAAGGTGCTTTTGTGAAAGGGAGATAAATTTTGGATGTGGCTCTTTTGAACAATGAGGTGGTAGAGGATTATTGGGCTTAAGGGATGGAGGGTATTGTGTTTAATGATTACTAAACAAGAAAGAGTAGGCTGGCGGCCCAAACATCTATGCTCCCGCTTTGAATATCTCTTCCAAGGACAACCCTATTGAGCAAAGAGTTTGCATTCACCTTCTACTATAGGGTATCAACGGTTTCAAGGATCTAACTGACTCACGGAAAAGTCATATCATAAGTGGGTCATCGAAACTTTACTTGTTCCATTGGGGGTGTTTCCTTGGTATATCATTTGCTCTTAGAAGCATGGCTTTTGAAAGAACTTATGATCATATTGATTGAAATTTTTTAGGTTTTATATTGGAATCTAAAGTTTTGGAGTGAGATGAGAATGTGGATTAAGAGTGCTTGCAATCCATGAATTTTTTAGTCATTCTGAATGGTAGGCCTTGGGTAAGTTCAAGACCTTTAGGAGACTTAGGCAAGGTGATCCTCTATCACAATTTTTTTTCACCTTAGTTGTGGATGGTTTGAGTAGGCTTGTGACGAGGGCAAAAGAGTATAATTTGGTTGAGGATTTTGTGAATTAGAAGTGATAGGATATCGGTGTCACATCCGCAACTTATAGATGATATCATTTTCTTTTCCTTAAGGGATGAGCAGAAATTTCTGAATTTTAAGAAGATTGTTGATTTATTTGTTTTCATTTTTGGTCTTAGAATAAATATGGAGAAAAGCTTGATTGTTGGAATAAATTCTATACATGATGATATATCTAGATTATCATAGGTTCTTGGGTGTTCAATTGGAGGGTGACCCCTTAAGCTGGGGGCAGAGCTAGGATTTCCCATTAGAGGGGACAAATTATTACAGGAAAAAATTTTACTAGTTTATACAAAACATTTCCAAGCATGAAAAAATATTTTAGGATTCAACACTAGATTACTATTAAAACAGGAAAATCAGTTTTCATTTAAATTAAAAAAAATATGAGCAACAAACCATAAAATAAAGAAAATATGAACAACCAACCATAAAATAAAGAACATATGAACAACAAACCATAAAATAAAGAACATATGAACAACAAACCATAAAATAACTTATGGTATTACATTTCAACTTAATCACAGACTAAATTAAAAAACGATGTTATTTCAAATCTCAAAATTCGTCCATAATGTATTGATGATAAACTAAAGTTTTAAAAATTCTCTTCAATATACAAAATCACATTATCCATGACAAAATCATTATTCATTTTATATTGTGAAATTAGTTAAAATCATCATTTATTTTGTTGATTTACTCAATTTAGAAACTAAAACATTGATTTTTTTTTTGAGGGAGGCAATGGGCCACTAACTTGCTAAAAATTAAAAATAAGTTAGGAACGTGGTAAACATTTTCAAAAATCTAGGGAGGCAAATGTATTAAAGTAACTAATCTATTAGCCCTTCATAATGCATAAATAAAAAGATTGAAAAATTCAGAGGGGAAAGTGCCCACCCTCCTCCCTATGTGGCTCTGCCGTTGCCTTTAAGTACTTAGGTTTGCCTTTAGGTG